ACTTTTGCTTTCTGCTTTTCTTCTCCCGCCTCTATCCACTTGAGAAAGGAATGTGTCTCCCTTATCAGGGAGATGGTTACGGAGAAACGAAACTGGAGAAGACCTTGAGATGTGCGCCAACTGTGCCAGTTGCCCACACATCGTGCCACCTGTGGATTATCTGGATTTCAAATGGACATTATGGCTTTGGTGGGAGAAGGAATATTGCTGGTTTAACTATACCGTTCAAGCGGGATTTTCCCCAGATCTCGCCTTGACTTCCCTACTGTCACTAATCCCTAATAAAAGTTTCCTTTTGAGACAATGCCTGTTTCAAGAGTTCTGTTTTATTGGGTGGTAGTTGAGGGGGGTCCTTACACTTTCTCCCCATTGGCCAACTGCCTGCTCCTAGAAATCATACTGGGGGCTAAGTTGCCGAAACCCAAACTGTACTCGATGACCTCTAGAGTGTTCATAGACAAAAACTTGAAGCACAGTTTCATATAATCTACCAGATTACAAGTGGCTGCTCTGGTGCTCTTCAGGGGAAAAAAAGATGGGTCCCTTCATCTATGCATTGACTATCGCAGACTAAATGCTGCTTGCATTGAAAACATCTACCCAATGCCCCAATGAAAGATATGCTAGCCCATTTTGGCCAAGGGGAGGACTTTTACCAAGCTGAACTTCTGAGAGGGGAATTACTGAATTAGGATCAAGGAAAGTGACAAGTGAAAAATGGCTTTTAATTACCCCTTTGGGTGTTTCCTATTCCAAATCCTCCCTTTCGGAGTGCAGGGTGCTCCTGCTGTATTTATGCAGCTGATAAACGAAGTGGTGCATGAGCACCTGTACAAAAGATTTTTGATCTATCTGGATGACATTTCAATTTATACCAAAACTATGGCAGAGCATATAAAATTGGTCAGGGCTATGCTCAAAAAGCTCCATGCAGCCCAATTGTAAGCCAAACTGACTAAATGAGAATTCCACCAAAGTAAAATTGACTATCTGAGGTACTGCATTTCCCATGAAGGACTAGAAATGGACCCTGAAAAAGTGTGCGGAGTGCTGGAATGGGCTCTTCCTCATACCTGGAAGCAACTACAAAGCTTCCTGGAATTCATAAACTTTTACTGTCAATTCATTCTATTGTTTGCCCAGATAGCCCTCCCCATTACCAACCTACTAAAGACGAAAGGGAAGGGGAAGCCCAAGCTTAGCCAGCCGCTTAAATGGACAATGGAATGTCAAGCAGCATTTGAAAGATTCAAGTGCCTGTTTGTGGCAGAACCGGTGCTGAAATATCAGACCCCAATACCCCCTTTGTCATTCAAGCAGATGCTAGTGATGTGGCAGTGGGGGCAGTGATCTTGCAGAAAAATGAGCAAGGGATCCTGTAGTCCTGTGCCTATACTTCTAAAAAGCTTACCAAAACCAAACATAGGTGGGAGGTTTGGGAAAAGGAAGAGTATGCAGTGCGCTGGGAACTCTTAACCTGGAAGCACTTCTTGGCAAGAGGAAAAACCTCTTTTGAGTATGGACTGATCATAAAAACTTTAAAATCCTAAAGTCCCCCACAAATTGTCACCCAAACAAATCCACTGGGCTCAGTACTTTAACTGATTCAATGTCATGCTGCAATATCTCTGGGGGGGGGACTTCCTAGCAGATGCCCTGTCCAGATTGCAACAATATAACAGTTCAAAGCTGGAGGTACTTAGAACAGTTATCTCAATCCTGGCAATTGGTGGTTTCAGTCACCGCCAGAGCGTAAACTAAGCTAAAAGCCCAGATAGCCAAGGACCTAAAGGATGCCCTGAAAAGGGCACTAGAGAAGGACAAGTGGTTCCAAACCCATAAGGGTGAATGTAAGATGCAGGATGGCTTAGCCTGGATGGGAGCCAAATTATACATTTCTCAAAGTCAATGATTAATGGACCTACAGAAAAGCCATGATTCAATAGTAGTGGGGCATTTAGGCTTTGTCAAAACCTTGCACTTGGTTGAGCACCAGTTTTGATGGCCATCACTAAAGAAGGACATAGAAAGCTATGTAGCCAGCTGCCCTGTTTGTGCCTCTGCCAAAAAGCGCCAAGTGAAAATGCCAGGACTCCAGCCAGTGGCAGAGCCAAAAGCCCCATAGAAAGTGACCTCAATGGACTACCCAAGAGTTCAGGAAACACAGCGGTTTGGGTGATAACTTGTTTTCCAAATAAGTGCATTTTGTGTCCTGCCAATAGATCCCTTCTGCTCGTACTTTAGCCAAATTGTTCATGCAGCACCTCTATAGACTGCATGGAGCCCCAGAAAGAATAATCTCTGATTGTGGGGTTTACTATGCAGTTTTGGCAAGAGTTTTTAAAACTTTTGGGGAGCACTCAGGGGCTTAACTCCTCACATCATCTAGAAATGAATGGAGCCTGTGAATGAGGTCCTGAAGTAGTTTTGTTGATATTATATTAATTATCAACAGGACAATTTTGGGGACCTTCTTCCTTTTGTTGAAGTTGCTTACAATAATTCAGTACAAAGAAGCACTGGATTCATTCCTTTTAAGGTAACCACAGGGCAGGATTTTTTATCTATTCTCGAACTGTACCAGATCACCCCACTCACTGTCTCCTACCAGCAAAACACCTGGCTGGCAGTCAGAAAAGCTCTGGAGGAGGCAAGGGAAGCATATAAAAAACAGACAAAATGCACGTGAAGCCAAAAGACTTTAAAGCTGGGGACAAGGTCTATTTATCCACTAAGTACTTGCAATCTAAACAACCTTCAAAAAAACTGGGTCCAAAATATGTTGGTTCTTTCCCCATCCTAAGAGTTATTAACCCAGTGACTGTGGAACATGAATTACCAAACACCCTCAGAAGCGTTCATTGAGTATTTCACTGCAGCCTCCCTACACCCAAAAATGCTACTGCCTCCTGATCCAATCATGATCAAAGGAGAACAACATTTTTAAGTCAAGGACATAGTGGACTCTCACACACATTGGGGAAAATCCAGTATTTAGTAGTGTGGAAGGACTTCCCTCCCTCTGAAACTGAACGGGTGGATTCCAAAAATATTAAAGCATGCAAACTATTTAAAAAGTTCTATGAACAATACCCAGAGAAACCTAAATGACCAAATAATTTAATTATGCATTTTTTGTGTGTCTCCCCTCTGGTTTCTGGTTTCCTCTGCAGAACTAACATCTCTGTCAAGAGGACAGTATGTCAGATCTGCCATGTTTGAATTGGCACCTTGCTGGCATCCTGCCATCAAAGGTTAGGAGGAAGGGGGCAAGAAAGGGAGGAGGACAAATAGGCAATACTGTAAAAATGTATAGGGATGTGAGGGGGTTGACAGCTTGACGAAGACCAGGAAAGCATGGAACCAGTTTGTGCTAGCTCTCAAGGCCACGCACCCCGAGACCCACAAATATCTCAGTGTTCTCAAAACACATATGCAGCTCTTCATTGGTTGAAGACAAACTTTAATAAAAGAACCTATCACTTCAATCAAATGGAGTCAATGTCTTTTTCCTAAGAGTCCTGACTGAGGCAGGTCTGACAGTGAGAATCTCTGTGCTTAGAACACTAACAGAACCAGAGTATAGCATTGTCAACCTCACAATAAAGAGACTGAATTAGTAAATCCCAACTTTGGATCTTGTCTCTGCCTTGAAGTTGATCATCAGGAAACCATCTATTCAGCATCACCATCAACATTTGCAACAGGAATATTTTTGTGACATATTACATGATTTTTAAAATTATAGCTAGATATCATATTAACATCACTGGCAATGCAAATTAAATTTTTTATCTGTTGTTAAATGTAGGCCTTTCAAGTGCTGCCCAATAACTATTTGGAATCTCTCTCAAAAGATTATTGGTAACAATGAAGCACAGCTTGAAAGATGTAAGAATATAAAAACTATTCCTGTTCTTAGGATTCAGATTCATTCCCATTAGTTGCATGAAGAGATGAAATTTGGTGCCCTTGCAAGAATAAATGGGAGCCAATAGCTTTTAAAGATCAGCAAAGATAAACTATGCTCAGAATTTAGAGCAATCTTCTTACATGGTATCCTTTATATATGTGGTACAATGGCTTGTCCTGTTACTCATTTTAGAAAGCATAGTTCAGTGCAACTGGAGAGCATCAGACAGGTAAAGAGTCTAAGATGATTCATTTTCTAGATTTCTGCCAGTTGTAGAACCTCTTACAGCAAAAATAAAGACAACACTGAATACTTTCTTTATGTGATAAAGGAGCTATCTGACATTGAATTCATTCTTGACATAGTATAGCAAGGATGATCAAGGATAGAGGAAAACCTTTTTCTTGTCTAAGGTAGAAGAGCAAATATCACCTCATTCCTAGTCCCTGCCAATTTCATGTTGATATGCACTGTATCTAATGCCAATCAACTTATTTTCTCATTATAGATAGAAAATTGCACAGGCATTCTTCTCCGAACACTAAAATATAATAATAATAATACATTAACTCACTAATTTTCTGCCCTTTCATGATACCCCAAATCAAGTACCCCTGATTTTAATGGTACTAAAAGCAAGTCTAGCTTTTATTGAAATGCAACTGGTATCAAGGTCATCTACAGATTTACATTACTATAAGACTTCTGATTACAACTGGTTATACATTAGGAATAATTAGATTCCATAAATATTTCCTGAATATGCCACCCCAAAATTGGAGGGAAGTGAAGAACTTCCTGAACACAGAAAGATTGCATGTCATTCTAATTCTGCTAGAAGTCTTCTCTGTGGCAGGTAAGGTTTCAACAGATAAGGAGTCTAAGATGTGGGGCACTATTCAAACATAAATTCATCATGACCTATATGACTACATTTTGTAATGTACAAAATCTAGTATTCTTAATATACAAAACCTGACAACTTGATGACTATATGTGCGTTTTATATTCTTCCCAAAATAATTCATTTTAGAAAAATGCAGACAACACAATATTTCTTGCTGCAAAGTATGCATCTATTGCTCACCTGTAGTCCAGCAGTCTCTCCATAAGACGGGTTACAGTGGCAATTAATGAAACACCACTTTCTCTCCATGTTTCACGTTCAATTTTCTTCAGCAGGCTAGAAGGAATGAACCCAGGGCAAAATATCAGCATTTATTTTTACCAGTCTCCATAACAACCAATTTATACTCAAAGGTACCTAAAATGTCTTAGCAATATCTGTTCATTTTAATATCTGTTATTTTATACAAAACACAACTGCAAATATTGTCTTACCTGGGATAAGGACCAAAAAGTGGAATTCTACTCCAGGAAGCATTGACAAGGCAAATTGATTTTTTAAGGTTAGCCAACTCCAACTCAACATACACAGAAATATGTTTATACATATGTGTGTGCCTATATGTGTGTTTGCAGGCAAGTATGCATATACAGACTCACACATATAGAAAAAATATCTATCTATCTATCTATCTATCTATCTATCTATCTATCTATCTATCTATCTATCTATCTATCTATCTATCTATCTATCTATCTATCTATCTATCTATCTATCTATCATCTACAGAGAGATCACACTCAAAATAGCCAGGATTTTATTATATACCAATCTACTGTACTTTATTAAACCTGCATTTTGACATCAAGGGGAAAAATGAACATTTTATTACCTAGAAGACAGCATTTCCCATCTCACTGCTCCTGTTCGATGAGATTTCAAATCTTCTCGATGTAAGATTCCCCCCTCCCCATATTTCAACCAACAGTAGTTCTGCACCCACTCAATTTACTGCATTATAACTGTCACAGGAAAAGCCTTTTCCTGGGATTTTTTTTAAATATACTTCCTTGGTGTTATTTATGCATATTAATTTCATTTATTTAACAATTGAATAATTGACAGATTCTTAGTGATATACATTATCCCAATTACCCTATTTCCCCATTTTCCAGAACAAAGAATAAATACAAAAGTTGGTAGAGCCATAACCAATACCCACACATTTATTCAATAATTAAATAATAGGTATTAGAATACTCTTTCCCCAAATGTTCATCCCAAAATCTATATGCATGCATCTTTAGCTAATATACAGCTTGAGATAAGTACATTCTGCATATACCTTCTTGATTATTGCTTTCCATTTTACTAGAACCCTGAATTTTTAAGTTATCAGACAACAAATGTTTTAAAGCATGAAGCAGGGTCATTGACTCAACTAGCTACACTTTTTGAAGAAATTGTATGGAAAAGCTTTAAAATATTGTACTAATAGGTATATTTTTTGTGCAAAAGAAATCCTAGTATACTGGATCAGGGAGAAATGTCCATTGTTATGCTCATCTCAAGTTATATAGGTACATAAAAAGACAAATCATCCAACTTTCAATCCAATTATTATAAGGCTTATATTTATCCAGCAGGTTCCTTTCAAGTAGTGACAATGGTAAAAACAGGTAAAAATTCCAGATTCAGTTGCAGGGTATAGTAAGAAAAAAAACCCCAAGAAAACAACAAAGCATCGCCATATGCTTATATATTGTAGTTCTTTAGCACTACTAAAACTGCGTCCAGGAGGCAAGAGATATATATGTCAAGCATATCAAAGTTTAGTAATCACTTTGCACAGGCTTTTTCTAGATACCAGATATCCAGAAGCTGCTAAATAGCTTTCAGGTGATCCAAAGATGTCTTGGGTTTTGTTGTACTTAACCCCCTGAAGTGTCAGCAGCCAGAAACTAAGTTTAACTCTAGTAAACACCAAAAGTCTGCTTCTGTGAATGAATTTCACAGTTATACCCTAAATCAGAGGTCCCCAACCTTTTGGGCACCAGGGACTGGTTCTGTGGAGAGAGGTTCCTCCATGGACCGGAGGGTGCATGGTTTTGTGTATTGCCTGCATCCCATGGATGGGGCTTTGCTTGTTTGTGCGGACTGGTTGCTGGCATGCCACGGCCTGGTACTGGTCCACGGCCTGGGGGTTGGGGACCCCTGCCCTAAATAAAGGAGTGAAAATATTTAGGTGCTGAGCAGTAGACTTACTGTTTCCCTTCCTGCAGCTAAACCAGTAGGTCTGTTTTCTGGAAGAGAGGAATTAAAAACTGCACAGTTGACTGAATTCCAGGATTTGTTTAAAGAATGAAGTAGGACTATTGGAAGTTGCTTCACATTTTATATCTCAAATTATTTTCCAGGTTCCTATTTCTCTGACTTTTGAGCTATTGAGTAATTTTTCAGGCCCAGGAGCACATTTAGACTATTGAGATTATGTAGTAGGTGCTCCCATGAGTTTATTATGAAGCATAGTTTAAACACAAAAGAAAGCTGTAAATCTGTTCTTTTCGTAATACTATGTACATCATCCTCTGGTCTCAGTCCTTTTTACAAGCCCTAATTATCTTTTTCTTCTTTATCTTAGCAATTTGACACTGCAATCATCCATTATCTTTATTTTTTTAAAAAATGCCTGAGATTAACTTCAATAGCAATAGCATTTAGATTTATATACTGCTTCATAGTGCTTTACAACAGGGCTTTTCAACCGGTGGTACGCGTACCACCTGTGTTACTTTGGCATATGGCAGGTGGTACGTGACTGTCCTAGAGAAGTGTAGTGGGGGAGGGGAATGAGCTGGAGAGACCCAAGCCTGAGGGAGAGGCAGCTGGAGCTGCAGGACTGGCTGGGCTTGGCTGAGGAATTCTGGGAATTAAAGTCCACAAGTCTTAAAAATGCGAAGTTTGAAGACCCCTGAGCTAGCTGGTAGTGGTGCATATTAATAAACATGGATAAATTCATCATACATTTGTCAGTGCAAAGGGAAAGTGATTCAGCAAAGGAACAGCTGCTGAAGAAATTAAAACCGGTACTTTTTTACTTTTTTCTACAGTTTGTAACATTTTATTAGATTATAGAATAAAATACAAAAATACAAAAGCAAATAGTAGGATACAGTGGGGAGGAAAAAGGGGGAAAAAGTGGGGGGGGAGAAGGGAAAAAGAACAGACTTCCTCTGTTGCAGTAGAAGGAAGCATTAACATTGAACCTCAACTTTTTACTTTTCCATAATATTATAAACTAGACATTTTTATAACAACAAATGAATCTAATCAGTAAAAAGCAAAATCCCCCCCCCATTTCTTTTCGTCATCAAGTTTTTGACACCTTGCTAAGCACTGGTGGGTACTCAAATATTATCATGTCCTAAAAGTGGTACAATCTGTGAAAAGGTTGAAAAGCCTTGCTTTACAACACTCTCTAACCTGTTTAGAGTATCAGCATATTGCCCCAGGCAATCTGGGTCCTCATTTTACTGACCTTGGAAGGATGGAAGGCTGAGTCAACCTTGAGCTGGTCAGGATCAAACTCCTGGCAGCGGGCAGAGTTAGCCTGCAATACTGCATTCTAACCACTGTACCACCATGACTCTAAAATCTAGCTCTTATGGCTTGTTTTCCATTATGCCTTCATTTCTTTAAAGATTATTTTAAAAAAACCAGGGAAAGGAAAGCCAAGAGGTTTCTATGTGAACACTATTGCTCTCGGGTACTGTTTGTTTGCACCTGGTTTAGCCTAAAATATTTGAAGGCCTATAGATTAGGAAAAATCATGGAAATATTAATATTGGGAATAAATCCTAGGAAATTTATCCTCTAGTCCAGAGGTCCCCAACCTTTTGGGCACCAGGAACTGGTTCCGTGGAGAGAGGTTTTTTCGTGGACCGGGGGGGGCATGGTTTTGCGTGCTGCCTGCATCCTGTAGGTGGGGCTTCGTTTGTTTGCATGGACCAGTTTCTGGCATGCTGCGGACCAGTGCCGGTCCATGGACTGGGGGTTGGGGACCCCTGCTCTAGTCTTTATAAATCTGCCTGGGGAACTTCAGAAAATACTATGGGCCATGAAACATGGATATAAGACACTATAATTTTGTGGAAATGATCAGGAATTAGGAAACCACCATTAAAACATTTTCAAGTCTCAAAATTTCTCTATGACATGATAGCCGTGTTCCAATATCTCAGGGGCTGCCACAAAGAAGAGGGAGTCAAGCTATTTTCCAAAGAGCCTGAAGGCAGGACAAGAAGCAATGGATGGAAACTAATCAAGGAGAGAAGCAACCTAGAACTAAGGAGGAACTTCCTGACAGTTAGAACAATTAACCAGTGGAACAACCTGCCTCCAGAAGCGGTGAATGCACCAACACTGGAAGTTTTTAAGAAGAGACTGGACAGCCATTTGTCCGAAATGGTATAGGGTTTCCTGCCTGAGCAGGGGGTTGGACTAGATGAACTCCAAGGTACCTTCCAACTTTATTATTATTATTATTATTATTATTATTATTATTATTATTATTATTATTATTATTATTATTATTATTATTATTATTATTATTATTATTATTATTATTATTATTATTTGTGTTCTCTGTATATTCTTCTAAAGAAATAGAGATAATATAATAATAATAATAATAATAATAATAATAATAATAATTATTATTATTATTATTATTATTACTCAAAGAGATTATAACCTTACCTCAGGAGGGAGGGAGAAGAGAGACGAGGGAGGGAGGGAGGGAGGGAGGGAGGGAGGGAGAAAGGAAGGAAGGAAGGAAGGAAGGAAGGAAGGAAGGAAGGAAGGAAGGAAGGAAGATGGTGAATGAGTGAGTAAATTCATTCAAGGCAGTGACATTCATCCAGCAACCTTTCAAAGATAATACTTAAAGTAAATATTCATAACAAAAATCTCAAACACAAGACTTAGCTACCCAGTATCTAAACAGAAGTCAGAGAATGGCATATTCCAGCTTTTTTAGCATTCTGCTATGCATATCATGAGGGAAAACCTCTATTGCATGTTTCATTATAATATGATTTATTATATATTCCTCTAAACCTGTTTCTGAAGATTGTTTGCTTTCTAAATACCATTCCTTGCCTTTAGCACTAATCCTCTTAGCATTCAGAGCACACACACAGCATATTGTACAAAAAACTACAGTTTAAACAATTAGGAGTTTATTCTAATGTTGGTACAGAAACCAAAGGAGGGTTAAGTGCATTTCTTTTTATTTTCCTGCTTTTAAATACATACAAATAGTAAAAAGGATGAATATTTAATCCCTTTTTAACAAGTAAATTGACATCCAATTGTACCACTATTTACTTGGATGTACGTTTCTGATGCTGGTTTTGTCTTTTTTTTTCTTAAGCTCTTTCTTCTTGATAGGGGCAACTCTAACGTACTTTGGGGTTCATCTTAGTCAGACATGTCAAACACAAGGTCCACAGGCCAGATCCGGCCCGATATGTGCTTCCGTCCAGCCCGGGGACCTGCTGTGGAAAGAGCGAAGGACCGGCCCGCCACACCTCAGACCGGGCACTGATCTACAACCTGGTTGCGTCCATCAAAGCCAGAACGCGCTCAGCTTTAAATCCTATGAGGCAGCCCTGCCCTGTTCTCTGGGTGCGTGCGCAAGCAGAGTCCACTCATCATCTTCAGGCTGGGGTCTTCGGCTTCGTGCTTGTACGAGCAAAGTGTGATCGGAGCTGCCGTCCCTCTATAAATATTGGTGGGGGGGTGTGGAGTGCTGGCTTAGTTGCTGTAGGTGGGTTGGTTGGCTATGTAGGGCTTATTGTTTGCAGATTGTTCAGCTCTTTCGTAACATCCTGGGTAGTTGAGGTGCTGGCTGTGTGACCATTAGTCTTTTGTGTTATAACGACCTGGGTAATGGGTTGAGTGATTACATCCTGAGATCTAGTGTAGTGATATCCTGAGTTTTGTGTTGCAACATCCTGGGTGGTTGGCTGTGTTGTAACATCCTGGGCTTTAGCGTTGTAACCTCCTGAGTTCTGTGATGTGATGTGATGTCCAGAGCAGAAGGCTGTGATGTAGCATACCGGGCTTTGGTTTGGCTCCGAGTTTGCGGTCTAGCTCTGTGTTCATGGCGTGTGTCCATTTGCTTTGTGTGGGGGTTGGAGGGAGGTGCAGCAGCTGGTGATGTCATCGTGGTTTGGCTTCTGGATGGTGGTTGCATTTCGTCTGAGGGATGGGTTTGGGCTTGGGTTTGGGTCTGGTGAGGGTGAATGGTGGTGGCGTACTGTGTTGTTCTGGGTCCAGTGTCAGTTTTCGTGGCTAGGACTCGTTTGTTGATTAGGGCTAGTTTCCAGATGTCTGGTAGGCGGGAGGTATCGTCATGTTTATTCATGTTGTGGGGGTGTTTTTCTATTTCGATGGCTTCCATAATTATTCTCTTGTTGTGGTGTTCAGTTTTGGAGATTAGTTTGGTTCCTTCAAAATCAATTTCATGTCCTGTAGCTTTAAGGTGCTGGAAGAGGGAGAAAGTTTTTTCTTCTTTTCTGACTGCGTTCTTGTGTTCTGCAATGCGGGCATTTATTCTCCTATTATTTTGTCCAATGTATGTGGCTGGGCAGATTTTGCATGGTATTTCATAGACTCCTTGGTTTTCTAGCTGGATCCTGTCTTTGGGGTTTCTTAAGATATTGGCTATTTTTTGGTCGGTGCTGAAGGCTGTCTTGATATTGGGTTTGTGGAGAATTTTGCTGATTTTATCTGTGGTGCCTTTGATGTAGGGGAGGAGGGCGATGTCGTTGTACTGTTCTATGTCTTGGTTCTTGGGGGGTGTTTCCCTTTGGATTAGGTTGGTAATTGTATTACCAATACGTCAAGACCTGCATACCTGTAACCGTGAAAATCTACGAAAACATATATATATATTGAGTTTGGTGCACCCTGTCGGCCCAAATATGGGAGAAAGGAATCTTTGTTAGCAATCCAAATTTTGAAATATATATATAGACAATTATCCAGCACTTTATGAAACTATCATCTTAAAGCACACAATTTGAGCATTACCATAATTTACAACACACTATTATAGATGTTTATCTAAATAAATTCCAAATTGGCTATTCACAAAGATAGTGGGATAGCAGGTATTATGGGATATGTTCCAACAGAAGAGCATATCAGTGGATTCAGGGACAAACTGTGGAATTCTTGGTGCTCTTGGTTGTTTGCTTACAGGTGTTTCATAATCCAATTAGGTAAAACTATCAATTTCATTACCCAACTTGCACTGATGATGTTATCTCATTAGGTAATGAAATGTTTAATGGCAAACAACCAAGAGCTCCACACTATTTTATGTGCTTCTTGTTTTTGTTTGATTAATCTGTATATAATATACATTCTGATAAACATATTAATTTTGCTTGCTGAGTTTTCTCAAGTGTTCCTTAATCCCGTTCATCTTAAAATTTTGAAAACATGTTATTAAAATTTGCTTTTTGTTCCAAATATTAGAGATTGAAAATCCAGATAATTGTTGCATGACAATAGTTGTGGGAATTACTACAATGCAGAGATAGTAAACCTACAATTAAAATGATATTATTTTACTATTAAGGATTAGTTCTGTTAGTCTAAACCATTGCAGCTAAACAGATAAAGGTACATGCTTAACTCCGGTGAAATCAATGTTGAATTGAATTTTTACCTGTTTTAGTTTTCAGAAAGATTGAATATTCATACTGCGCTATACATGTTCAACAGAAATAAATTAAGTTAATTTAATTATTTATAGCATTTGTTTTGCGTTGGCATGTTAATACTTTTTTTAATGTAAGTAAAAAAAGCCATAAAAACTGATAATAACTTTATTCCACTGAGAAATGTTCTGAAAAATGCTGTCTTGAAAATAAACATTTCACTTTAAAATATTAGTAATTATTTATGATCTTAATAAGTACTGTATATTCTACTTCTAACAAGTAAAGAAATACCATAATTACTACTGTAAAAAACATTATACTGTATACACAGGGGCTATACGTCTTTACTCATTCAGACAAATATTCTTTGATTTAAAAAAACAGTCAAATAATTTTTAAAATACATTTATTACTCACATACTATTGAAGAGCTCTCTGTAAGTTTCATCACCTTTTCCTTCTGACATCAAGCTATCCAATTTGTCAATCAGTTTTGCTTCCACCTGTAATATATATGTACTCACAAAGATGTTTAGAGGTTTTAAATCAAACTCAAAATAAAATCTACAGAGGAACAAGTATTTTCTAGAAATATGTTCCTTTCATAATGACTAGATTAAGAGTTAAAAAAAGCTAAGGGAATAGATTACATTATTTTGTCTCTTTGTACAATTCAAATAATTTCATAGTAATAATCATATATATAATACATATACAATAATATAAATAATATAAGCTGGCTGTAAAATAAATAAAAACAGATTACCTAAGCCCCCTGCTTGGAATCCTCCCCACATCTACAGTACTAATAAAAAGACACATTGTATATGCCTCAGCATAAAAACTTTTTCCATTGCTCCCATCATTCTCTCAAGTAGTACATTGCATTATTATAACTTGTATTCCTATCTACGCTATTTAACAGTCTGATTCTATCATCTAACCCTATTCTCCCAAAAGCTTGGTAAGAATAACAGAACAACAGAATGACAGAGTTGAAGGAACCTTGGAGGTCGTCTAGTTCAACTCCCTACTCAGGTAGGAAACCCTATACTATTTCAGACAAATGGTTGTCCAATCTCTTCTTAAAAACTTCCAGTATTGGAGTACCCACAACTTCACGAGACAAATCATTCCACTGATTAATTGTTCTAACAGTCAGGAAATTTCTCTTTAGTTCTAGGTTAGTTTTCTCCTTGATTAGTTTCCATTTATTGCTTCTTGTCCTGTCTTCAGGTGCTTTGGAGAGTTGGTTGACTCCCTCTTCTTTATGGCAGCCCCTTAGATATTGGAACACTGCTATCACGTCCTTCTTTTCATTAAACTAGAGATATCCAATTCCAGCAACCATTCTTCATATGTTTTAGCCTCCAGTCCCCTGATCACCTTTGTTTCTCTTCTCTGTACTCTCTCTTAGTATCTCAAGATCTTTTTTACATTGTGGCGACCAAAACTGGATGCAGTATGGTCTTACCAAGGCATTATAAAGTGATATTAACACCTCACATAATCTTGATTCTATCTCTCTGTTAATGCAGCCTAGGACTGTGCTAGCTTTTTTGGCTGCCACCACCTAACACTGTTGGCTCATATTTAAGTGATTGTTCACTAGGACTCTGAGATCCCTGTCACAGTTACTACTATTGAGCAAGATACCTCCTATACTATACCTGTACATTTGGTTTTTCTTGCTAAATGTAGAACTTTGCTTTTTTCAACATTGAATTTCATTTTGTTAGATAGTGCCCAGTGTTCAAGTCTGTCCAGATCCTTCTGTATCTTAAGCCTGTCTTCTGGAGTGTTGGCTATTCCTGCCAGCTTGGTGTCGTCTGCAAATTTGATGAGTTCCCCATCTATCCCCTGGTCCAATCGTTGATGAAGATGTTGAAGAGCACTGGGCCCAGAACAGAGCCCTGGGGCACCTCACTACACACTAGGACTCCAAGATCCTTCTCGCAGTTACTACTATTGAGCCAGGTGTTTTTGGTTTTTCTTGCCTAAATGTAGAACCTTACTTTTTTCACCATTGACTTTTTTTTCTCATTGAATTTCATTCAGATATGTGATAGGTAGGTAGGTAGGTAGATAGGTAGGTAGATAGATAGATAGATAGATAGATAGATAGATAGATAGATAGATAGATAGATAGATAGATAGATAGATAGATAGATAGATAGATAGATAGAATCAATCTAGGAAATGAGAACCGCTACAGAATGTAAATTTGGTAGTTTGGTAGCTAATGATAGTTGATTAAATAAGTGTGTAAAAACTGTAACAAATTGTTCTTGTATGACTAACGTTACCCTCGAAAATTCTTTCTTATGAAGTATTGGTAAATGTGAAACTTGGGAGAAGGTTTCTTGAAGTGTTATTGGAAAATAAATGGTATGTGAACTCTGTGTCCCTAAAGGCCAAGATGGTTTTCCCCCATCTCCTCTTAACCCTCTGGAGACCATTATCTTGTGATCTCCTTGTGAAAAGCAACTATCTGGAAAACTTTTTAGTGATCTCCAATTCTTTCTTTCTCAGGAGAGGAATTGCAAAGAGCCAGTCCATTAACCAGCTCTATCTACAGTCATCAGCTTGCAATCTCAGCAGATTCAGATTCAGTTTGCTATCACAAACTGACGATAACAAACTGAGACAACTATGATCTGAATGACTGAGAATCTCCATAGACACTTCAGTTTGCTATTTCTTCCTCAGAAGTACTTTTCTAATCATTTTTGAGAATTGCTTCTTAATTGCTTTTCATTTAATAGGAACTTTTGGAATGACAGGTTTTACAGCACTAGGTGAGTCTCCTTCAATCCTTCACAAAAGAAAATTTAAATACACTTTTAATGATTAAAAAAAAATAAACAGAAAAGAGTAATTAGCATTGATTTTGGAAAATTACAAATGGACTAAATGTCCAGGTTAATTTGAAATAGGATTTCTTAAAAAACTGATAGAATGGGACTTTGAAGATTGGACCCTAGAGGCAACCTAAACAAAATAAAGATTGCAGTTAAAGGAAAAGAACACTTAAATTTGACTTACTAATACAAAAGGAGTAAAATACTTTAACTTTGGCCATGCTGAAGAATATTTGTGAACCCTGAAAAGTTAATTTTAAGTGTGTCTATCATGTATTTTAAAAATGTTATAGAAGAGGGAACATATTTTACCAGACAAGATTTACACTGATCTGAAAGTAGACTTAAAAATGATAGGTTACAAGAATGATATGGAATAAGATGTTAGACTGAATATATAAATGAAACTAGCTAATATATTAATAATTACAAGGGATATACCAATAACAAATCAAAAGAACAACATGGGTAACTTTCTTATATTGCGTTATAAAATAGACTTGCTGAAGTTTGGAAGAATTTTGTGAGAAGGAACAAGACACTTGTTATGATGAATAGGAGAGTAATTTATATATGTCTTTTATTTTTCTTTACTGTATTCTTATTTTTCTTTTCTATTTTTCTTTTTCTTTTATATTCTTAATGTCCTGCACTTTCTATTATATATTTTTATTCTTTTATTTTTCTTAGTTTGTATTAGTTTTTATCTTTCTGATTATAATGTTTAATAAAATTACTATAAAAAAGGAAAATAAATGATAGCTGTTAACTTTAATGGTAATAAATTATGCAGAGAGAAATCATAATGTATGAATACTATATAAATGGACAATAGTCCATATAAAATAACTGTGAATCTACTTGTACAATGCTGTATATATTTAGCCCTCATAAAAAAACAGTGAATCTACAGAATCTACTAATATTGCATATTCATATGCACATGAACCCTTTCTCCTCGCCCCCCCCCCCGATATTGTTGCAAATTGGACTCCTTTTATTCTGCTATTTCACTTCAACAATTTAGTGCTTTTGCTTTGCTACATTTGAAACAGTAGGAAAGGGAACATGCAGAATACTTTGATGCTACACCAAGAAGTAGAATACAAATTGCAATAGCAGATGGCACATTTAATACTTCCTTGCTTGGCATCTCAGAGAGCTTAAAATGAATTGGATTATGGTACAATTTGGCAAACTATAAGGGTCAGATTTGAAAATATGAATATTGCAGCATATTATGATAGATTCTTACCAAAACATATATTTCAAACAATATGTTTCTCAAGGAGTATTTCTTATATTCCAAGTAATCTTGAAATAGGAAATTTCTGTACATTTTTTTTTTTAATCAAAAACAGTATTTGTTGAGTAAGAGCCAAATATTTATTTTAGGTTAACTCTTTAGTTGCAGACATCATTCCTTGGTATTTACTGTTATTTGAACTTCATTATATGCTGTGAGCATCTTTCAGGAAGAAAGGGAAGAAGGCAGCTTCCATCCAATAATGCGAGAAAAGATTTTGAGACCAGACAAGACCATTATCAAAGGTCTATAGAGGCAGCATCAGTATCCAGGGCTTAAAGAGCAAATAGCAGAAAGTTTATAGTGTAAAATCCAACTGTTTTGTACAGATCTATCTTGGTAAGGCCCTGCCCTCCTTCATAAGCAGCAAAGAAGGTTGCACTTGTGGAGAAGGGGGTTATTTTGCAATGAGATGCCCTATATGCAGAAAGTATTTCAGGAGATGATTCAGCTGCAATCTCAAATGGTACAATGAAAGGAAATCCAATAAATTAATTGTAAGTGACCAAGGAAATGACCATGAAAAAGGCATCCAGTAGCCATCAGGACAGACCTGGGGATTTTACAGCCATAGTCCACATCTGGCCCTTTGGCTGTCCCTGTCTAGCCCACATGATATTAATCGGAAATAAGAAATCAAATGTAAATATGTGTCACAGAGGATGAAGCCAAGCTGGGTCTCCTCTGTGAGTTACTACGTACTCCTTCAGTCAGCTGGTGGCCATGGGAGGATGAGGAGAGAAAGTACTTTTCTGCACCTGTCAGTGTGTAAGAATTTATGAACTGGAATAGCCATAGCAATGAACCAGCCAATGGGAACTGTTATTTAACTGAGACACAGGATTGGCTGTGAGAAGCATGTGATCCAGCCTAGGTCTGGCCGTATCTTAGTCTCTCCCTGTGTCCTGATCTCCTGAATTAGTTGTTGTTCTCTACCATGTTGCCAAGAACTGAATGAAACTGTATGTATCATGTTTATATATATTTTATAGGTAAAGTTTTTTGAAACTATGCCTCCTGCTCATTTTGAATGTGTGCTTATTTTTTGGGCTTATTTTTGCACTGGAAAGCTGTAAACTCTTAACAGGTTATGGGCCCAGATCCCAGCCAACCCTTGCACACAGTTCAGACTGAAGAAAAAGATTGAGGCTCAAT